AGACCATAGATTAATTACTTTCACAAAAGTTGGGGTGCAAGATAAAGAAATGGACAAAGGTAGTCACAGTGGGAATGGAGGGAAGGATCTGAATATGAAAAATATCAGGAGAGAGGACTGACAGATAACAGTGACAGACTAAAAGAGAAGATAGAGGGTTCTAACACGTGTGATGCAGTAAACAACTGGACCTTCATTAGGAGAAGGATAATGAAAGGGAAGATTGATGAAAAATTGATGCATTCAAATTGTCACACACTTCGTTCAAACTTGTTCCCTTTGAGGAGATACTTCCATGATTTCCTCAGGTAGATGTGATCAGAGGCTGGATTTCAGAGACAATAAGGTGGGAAAACAATATAAATCCCTCAAATTCTATTATTTCAAGCCTCACAGAGTGCAAAGACTCTGAAGGATAGCAGGCAGCAGGTGAGACATGAAATAGATACAAGGGGCCCTCAAAGTACAGGGCACAGCTGCTGTGTTGTGAGTACCTTGAAGCAGTTTTTTATAGTGGTTTGGGATCTTGAGCATTTGTCATCTGGTGAGAACCAAGCAGGATGGGCTCAACAATCTGTTGTCCCGGTCACAATTCCTCAGTGTGCGGATCAGTCTTCGGTCCTCATGAAGATTGTTGTTGTTGAATACCATTGAGTCAGAACTGACCCATAGCTGGCCCTCCAGGGGGGTTTTCAGAGGCAGTGCATCACACAGGAGGAGACTGCCTGTGTGCCTTCCTCGTGAAGCCAATACGACAGAAACCTCGCCACACCACAGATATTCCAACTACCTCTGCAGCCACATCTGACACTCTATCTGCCCCTGATGAGAAATACTGAGTGCCACCGGAACTGGATTCTAGAAGAATGAACACATCTATATTAGAAGAAGTCCAGCAGGATGCTTCTTAAAAGTGATGATGGTAAAAAAAAAAAAATTTTAAAAAAAAAGTGATGATGGTGAGATTTCCTCTTGGTTAACCTACATATGCTATCCAGAGGGATCAATTGCTGGAGAAGGAAGGACATCATGCTCGGTAGTGTAGAGGGTCAGGGAAAAAGAGGGAGATCCTCAACAAGATGGGCTCATTGGTGGCAACAATGGGTTCCAATATACAAGTGCAGGGATGGTGCAAGGCTGGGCAATGTTATATTCAGTTGGAGCCAACTCTTAATGGCACTAAAAAAGTTGAAGGTGGCAGGACTGGAAGAAAACGACTATTTTGGTCTGAAACATATTACCTTTAAACCGTTGGCTTAGTGGTAGGGAGCTGCACTGACAACCTGAAGTAGCCAGTTCGAATCCACCAGCTATTCCTCAGGACAAAGATGGGCAATCAACTCTTATGTAATTTACAGCCCTTGATAACCTGCTAGAGGGTCAGCAATGAATTGTACTGACCTGATGGTACATAACAATAACACGTCAACATGGGGGCTCTGGTGGCCTAGTGGGTATGAAGCTGTGCTGCCAGCTGAAAGGCAGATGGTTCCAATCCACCAGCTGCTCTGAGGGTGAAAGACAGGCAATATCCTCCTGTGCTATTTACAGTCTCTGAAAACCCACCAGAGCATCAGCTATGAGTTAGTTCCCACTCGACAGCGAACACACAACACAACATTTAAGGATGTCTGTAAGGTCCATGGTAGAAGGCACCTTAGGCTTTGAGGGTGGATATTGTCCAAGCGGAGAGAGGACATGGGAGGCTGTTGCAGTGACCACAGATCAAGCTGGATGGAAGGAAAGGCGGCCACTTTAAGAAACTAGTGATTCCTGGAGATTCAAGTGTAGGACACAAAGAAGTGAGAGGACTTCCTGGAATGAGAAGGTTCACACTAAGGCCATGAGAATAGGTGATTGAAATGGAGTTAAAGTCTTTGGATTTAAGTTGTCCTCCTGGGATGATAACAGATCAGAGTTACTTTTAAATTAATTGTTGTTGTCATTCTGTGCCATCAACTCCATAAAAGGGAGCGAGAGACTGTCCTGGTAGAGCTCCCAGGTGGGGCACAGTTCTTATCCTCAGCTGCTAGCCAAAGGTTTCAGTCCACCCATTGGTGGCTTTGAAGAAAGGTCTGATGATCTATTTTGGGGGGGGGCAGGAGGGAGGGAATAATTTTTGTCTTTCGATGGCACATATTTCCATTTTGACATACGTGGGGTTTCCAAACAATGAAACTGATTTGATGGCAACTGGATGGCTGACCGGATGGCAGATGTTAAAGCAGGGCAGTTTGTATCCTAAATGAGAAAGGCAGGGAAGGAGAAAGGTGGTATCAGAGAGCCAGCTTTGAAGTTAAGAGAATGAGGAAGGACAGGGGATGATCTCAGGTCCTGCTGGGTTTCAGATAAAACTCCACCAAAGCATCAGGATCACCTGTGCAGTATGCAAAAATCAGACATTTTTGGCACTCCTCCCCCACATCCTCAGCACAGCCATCTCAGACCTCCTGAATGGTGTTTCTGGAGTGGGCTGGTAAACTTGTATTTTTAAAACAAGCTCCATCAGTTGATGTAGCCCTAGTGGAACCATTTTTCAGATAGTCAGTTGGGGCCTGAAAATTTAGGGGAGATGGCTCCCTAAAGACTGGAGCTACGGTGAGCCCTCTGGAAAGGACTCAAAGAATGAAGTGGAAGAGAAGGGCAACAGGCAAAGCACAAAGCACACTCCCCAGGGAAGCCTCTTTCATGGCAAAGGGCTGTTGGGACTATCTGGTCTCAAGATTGTGGTCTGGTGCTAGAGGATCAGGGCATCTGTGGCCAATTTGACTCTAATGATTGTGGAGCCCCAGAAGAGACCAACCTTGGTGGTCGAGGGGAAGATTTCTGCTGTTTTCTATGAGGAACTTTGCCTCCTACAGACTCAGCCGGGATTGGTTCTTTCCTGCCCAGCCATTCAGTTTTACAGTACTGCAGAGCTCTGTCCAAGGTCTCCACTTCCCCCAACTCCTTCTTTACAAATCAATCTCACCTTTTCCCCAAACTCAGGCAGTTATATGCTAACAGAGCCTCCATTTACATTTCTAACCCAGAGCTCCACCCCACCCCAGACTCTAGACTTGTTGATTAATTGTTGGCTGCCTGGAATGTCTTGCAAGCATCTGATATTTAACATTTCCAAAGGGAAATTCTCTAAATGGTTTCATTTCAAGCATTTCCTATTTGAGTTAATCGTTACCCAACCTACCAAAACTAGAAGTCTGAGCAGTATTTTTTAAATGCTTCCTCCCCACCCCCCCACCCCGCCCCCCTTCTCACTACACACTTGTTAGATGCCATCTAGTTGACTTGGACTCTGTGTAACAGAACTAAAGATGGTCTTGGCCATCCTCACACCTGTTGCTCTACTGAGCCCATTGTTGCAGCTTCTCCAGAAATTGGTCCTCCTGATAAAACATCTAGAACTGCATGTATTAGGAAGCAATTTAAAACTTCAGGCCCTTGGTCAGATGCACCTTCCTCCTCAAAAGACACACTAAGTCATGTCACATCAGAATCCATTCTTTTTCTTCCCTACCGTTTCAAGCACCCTCATCTCCTGTCTCAACTATTTTAATTCATTTCCTAGCTATAAATAGGGTCCCATTCCTAGTTACATTTAGGATTGGTCATCTTCCAACATTTTTATCAGAACTAAACTTTTAAAAAACAAATCTCACAAATCCTATTGGCATACATTTCAAACTATGCACAAAACACAAACTTCAAGCAGGACCTTACTTTTGTTATGTTGCTTTCTCCCCAACCTCCCAAATTCCTTTTTTTCTAATTGTGACATTTATGCTTAATGGGGAAAAAGGGGGGGAGGGGGGAAATCTCATGGTAGTCCACAATGCAAGCTCAAATTAAAAATGGGAGACTGTGAAGGTGATAATGGTTATCACTTCAGAGTGTAGAGGGGGACGGGGAGGGCGGGCAGTGTGTGTCCAGAGGCAAATCCAGTTTAGCCAACAACTAGGTTATACCTAACAACAATATATTTTACAACTCTGATACATCACACGAAGGAACTCAGGCTTTCCTCAGTTTATCCTAGGGGAAATGGAGAGGGGGAACAAAGAGAAAAGCCTCCTGCATCCACCGCCTCTTCTGGGTTATAGCATCTCTGCATCCACAAAAAAATGAAAACTTGAGTAATTGCCAAACGGAGATTTTAAAAATTAAAGGGCATCTGTATAGCCTGCAAACCTGAAGACATATGAAATTATCAAAAGCATTTCTGGTGGGTTGTTGTTTTTTTTTTTTTTAAGTGGGAAATGTGAAATCACAAAGTTTGGTCCGCATTGCTCCGTGTGCGCCTCTGGATTGAGGGATGCACTAGAGAGTATTTCGCTTTATTTCTATCAGCAGATAACTAGTAGTTGAAAACTTGCAAGTGTTACTTCCCACGCTTAAATGTCCCGTGAATGTTGATCTAAACCCATATACTATCAGGCTGCCATGTTTACTTGGACATGTGAAGAACAATAACTAAGAAAGCTTAATCTTTGACTTTCTACCAAGCATTTTAAATATTCAAGAAACTTTACAGAACGTTTGCATCTCACCAATTTTACAAGCTACTCCTGCGATAGGCTTAAACAATAGGAGAGAAATGACCGAAATCACTATTAATCAAACCCGTTTTGTTTTAAAATCTTTTATTGCAGCAAAGGAGGTTTTCCCTCTGCTCCCACCCATTTTCAGGGTTTCCTTATTGTCTCATAGTTCAACACAACGGAAATGCTCCGGAGCAGGTAGTGTCGTGCAGTGTAACGTGGTCGAACCTAGCAATGTTTTGGAAACCATTCCAGTGGGTCATAGAAAAGTAGGTGGCCTAGGCGCGAAAAGACTCGCCCTGACGCTTCGGCTACTGCCAATTCAACACGCAACTTTTGAAATCAATCCTTTTTGCATCATGCAACGGATGCCACCTCTCCTCGAGTTTGCAACCCCCCACCCCTCCCCCGAGACCAATCATTGCCGCGCTCCGGCCTGCACATCGCCCCCGCCCCCTTCCCGGGCCGCACGCAGGCACCGAACCGCTCCAGCCGCGGCCCGCCACCTCTTAAAGGGAAGTAGCCGGTCCTTAAAGGACCCTCGCGCGTTGTGCACGGTGTGAGCAGGCTGGCCCCGGTTCCCGAGGGCGTCCGCGGAGTGAGGCCAAGCACTGCGGCGCCCAGGCGCTGGCCCGGGGCTCTCCCGCCCTCCGCGTCGCCGCCGCCGGCAGCAGCATTTTTATTCAGGCGACGCTTAAGGGAGCCCCGGCCGCGCCCGGTGCATTGTGGGAACGTCCAAGAGTCCCGTTTTCGGGAGGAGGAGGAGGGCGAAAAGCGAACCGGTAAGCGCCTGACTTGGGGGAGGGGGGGCGAGACACCAGGCTTAAAGGGGAATATTCGTCCACAAGCCCATTGCGGCCGTTGCAAATCCCCCTCCGTCCCACCCGGGACCGGTAGGGAGACGTGCACGGCCGGCCCTTATCCAGCCCTGCTTGGAGAGGGGGCTGAGCCAGGGGTTGGTGGGGCCGCTTTAAAAAAGAAGCACCGCCCGCGCCGCCGCTGCCGCCGCCCGCAGCCGCTCGGAGCCGGGGAAGGAGGGAGGGAGTAGCGAGGGGGAGGAGTGGAGGGGGAGGGCGGCGGCGCAGGGGTTAATTTTTTCACCCGCCGACATTTTTGTTTGGCGGCGGCGGTGGCCCGCGCGCGCGGCGGGAGAATACAGTCCGGTCCCCCGGGTGCGGCGCGCGGTGACTCCGGGCCCTCCCCGCCCCCACCGCGTGCCGTGGGCCGCCGCCGGGGTCTGTCCAGTTCCCTGGCGCCGAGGCCATCTGGGCGCCGGCTGGCTTTGGGCGCCCCGGCCGGCCGTGCCGCGAGCCGGAGTCTCACCACGCCCGCCGCGACCGGTTGGCCGTGCGCGCCTAACGCTGCTCCGGTGGAGTGGGCCTCCGATCCCGCCGCTGGTGGCGGGCAGGTGGGCGGGCATGGCCCTGCCTGGGGAGATGTGCTGCCCGCGCCCGGCTGCGCCGAGCCCGCGGCGCCGCGCCGCACAAAGAGCGCTGCCCAGGCCTGATTTGCCTTTAAAGGCGGCAGCCTGAGATTTAAGGTGTCCCCGAGTTGCGTCCTCCACGCTGTGGGTGCCTCCTCGACTTGTGCTTCATGGAGAGCGCCGGGCCCCAGCGCCCACGTCCTGGTGTGTCCACCCCATTGTTTATCTGCTGGGCTTGGGGGTAGGTAGGTATATGGGCTGCGGGGTGCAGTTCCCCGTGCTGCCTCGATCTGCCTGCGTGGGTTTGCGCACTTTTTTTTTTTTTTTTAAGTAACATATACGTGCCAGAGAAAGAAAGGGTTAAACATCTTTAAATATTCATGTCATTGTTTTAAAGTTGTAAACATGTGGCTTCAAGGTGGAAGTTGACTTGACTCTTATGAAGCAATTTATTCCTTCTCTGTGTTGACACAAAACACACTCTTTCCCATCCCTTCCAAAAATCTGCGCACTTCTTCCCCTTCTCTTACATTAAATTGTGAATTCCCGTAATTTGTATTGTTCTGGAGTTTAAAAACTCTAGCGTGCCTTCAGTATTTAAGGTGTTTTTGGAACTTTTTTTCCTTTTCAAAATGATGTGAAAATACACGGTAGGCTTAAGTGACCAGAATTCTTTTCCCCGCCTTTTTTTTTTTAATAGAGGATGGAGGTAAGAAAATAACTTAGGTTTCGTAAATTGAGTTCCCTCCCCCTTGATGGGGCTGAAGTGATGTTAAAATGCAAGGTATTTGTAAGGACTGGTTTTGTTTTTGTTCCAAACCTTTTCAAGTCAAAGTGCTATTTAGACTGTTTCTGACTTTACAATTGCTTCAGAATTGTCATCCAGGTAATTTGCTTTGCATACCTGCTATGCATTTTTTGGACAGGTTGATTACTTGGGATGATACTTGCAGATGTATTCCTTTGCAGTTACAGATTTCAGACAGAAATTGCTGCTCATCCCAAACATGCTTTTGCCCCAACCATTTGGATCACTGCCCAATCGCCGGCTTGGCGAGAGAGCGTTGTTCTCGGGGGAGGGGGAGATGGAAAACTATAAATGGAAGTTACGCTCTTAATCATAAATTTTGTAGGGAAAACTGACCCTTTAACTTGGGGTTTCTGTAATTCTATGCCCAATAAAGTATCGATATGGAGATTTGTAAATCCCGCCAGCACATGTAAATTTATGCTTGGGCCCTTAAAGGCTTCGAATTTAGGAGGGCTTAGTGCAAAAATTGAAAGTGGTAGAGAGTACAATAAATGTTAGTGATTTGCTGTGGTGTGATTTATTGTTTTAGTTCAGCAGGGAAATGGTAGTGAGCAGTAGCATATTTTGTCAATGAAGTGTGTGTACTAGTTTGTTGGGCGGGATATATGCTTTCTAGGAAGTAGCACTGAATTAAAACATCAGAGAAACTCTCTAAGCGCTCTCTTGAAGAAAATGAACTGTGTTTTGTTTAACAGTCATCCTAGTTCTCAAGTTGTGCTTTTTAGTGATGTTTCTTACTAGTTTTGGGTTGTGTTGTAGATTTCTGGCTCTTAGTCAAAACCTTTTCCCCCTCCCCTAAAATTAGATTTAATATCAGGAAGGATTTTACCAAATGCGTTTGCATCTGTGTCTTTTTCTGCAAAGTTCCTAGTAGGCATCTTTTTTTTTTTTTTTTTAAAATGAGGTTGCAAAAAATACCAAAAGGTTTACAGAAAAGTTGTGTTCTCTTGGATCTCTAATTTAGAAACCACACTGCATCCAAGTTAACAGATGAAGTGACTCGATGTGCTGTTCTCATAATAGTGTGTGCTAGAAGAACCTTTGGGACTTATTGTTCAAGATGGCATCGTGTCAAAGTAAGCCTGCTGGCCTGCAGTTCTTTCTACAGAGGCAGTCTTCCTGCTGGCCTGAATAGCCATAATTATAGCAGTACTCTAAACGTCAAATATTTCAGAGGCTGTCAGTGATGGTGTAGTCACTTTTAAAATGGTTTGTTCTAGCTTATGCATCCCTGTGATGAACAAAGTATTCTGGCCCCAAATCAGCTGCCTTGTGGTGGTAGTGATTTTCCCCCTCATCACTGTTTACTGTCTTCACTTGGTTCTTGTCAGGTAACAGTGTTCTTTTTATAATATGTGTTTTCATTTGGTGATGCATAGGTGGATCTGTAAAGAAAGCAGCAGACTAGGAGGAGGGAAAGGCGCCAACCTTGGAGGTGTGAGTACCTGAGAACCATGTCTGTGCGGGAGTCCTTTAACCCAGAGAGTTATGAGCTGGACAAGAGCTTCCGTCTGACCAGATTCACCGAGCTTAAGGGCACGGGCTGCAAAGTGCCCCAAGATGTTTTACAGAAATTGCTGGAATCCTTACAGGAGAACCACTTCCAAGAAGATGAGCAGTTTCTGGGAGCAGTTATGCCAAGGCTGGGTAGGTAAACCATTGTTGTCCGCAATCCAGTTACTGAGTCAATAACTAGACCTCTTTTCTCCCGTGTGATTTTTATTTTATTTTTTTTTTGAGAAGGATGAATTCAAACAGCAAAGCCCTAATAACAGCTATATTATTTTAATATCTTTTTTAATATCTTTGGAGGAGGAACTTGAAAAAAGATTAAGAAATAGACTTATTGTTGACATTATTATATTACTGTAAAAAATTTTTTATTAAAGGGAGCGCTGGTGGCCTAGTGGCAAGACGCTGCACTGCAATCCCAGATGTACACAGTGCAAATCCACCAGATGCTCTGCTGGAGAAGGAGAGGGCAATCTCCTCCTATACCAGTCAGATCTGATTTGATGGTACACATAAAAAATAATACAATAAAAATAAAGAAAAAATATAATTTAAAAAAACAAATTTTTATTAGAACTACCTGATTATTTCAGGATTAAGCAGCAACTCCTAGCTCTGCATCTTTGTCCTATCATTATTCCTAAAATACCCCCCATGCTTTAGCATCAGTGTACAAAATTCTGAGGGCAGCCATTGAGTTAAGGGGGATTCTAGGAGGGGCTTTATAAGCTCCTCAGAGGGGGAAAAATGTTTCCAGGTACAGAAAGAAGAGAGCAGACTTGATCCGGACTTGATCCCTGGGACATGTCTGGCGTTAAAAGCTGTGTTTATCTTTTTTTCTTAATGACACTATTATCGATGCACCTTTCCTCCGATATAGAACTCCATTGGACTACTGTTGGCTCGCTTTCACTGAATGGGTAATTAAGTGTTTGATGTGAGACAGCAAGCACTTGGCTTTCTGTGTTTGCTGTGCATCCCAAGAGTTTGCTCATTAGGCACTTTCAGTGTAACTTGATTTTCTCTTTTTGCACACTGTTTTTCTTTCATTTGATTCATTGTTTCGTTGTGAAGTCCTATCTTCTGTCTTCTGTCATTGGTTTTCAATCTCCAGTACACCTTTCGTCCCCACTATGTAAAACAGGTAAAAGCAGAGGTGCTCTCATTGGTCAGTACTCTGGGGACCTTTGGAACCCCCCAAGGAACTCCTTTCTAAGGTCTGGCAATTTAGGTGAATGAGTTGAGTTTTGGATATTAGTTGTTGCTATGTGCCATCAAGTGGGAACCAACTTAAAGTTGACAGGTTTTCAGAGAAGATTGTTCATCTTTCTCTCAAGAGCATCCTAGTGGATTGGAACCTCCTGCCTGTGGGAGAATATACTGAGGATAACTTTTGTCAATTAATAGAACATAATGGGAAAAGAAATAAAATTAAAACTGTGAAGAAAGTAACATTTTCTATAGTAACTTCATCCTGTTCACCCTGTTGGGCTCTTGGGAACCATCATGTATCCTTAAACGCTTTGATAATAAGTAATGAGTTGGATCTTTTGTTACTTCCAGCAGCCCCATCTGCTCAGGAGGGTTAGGGAACCCTTCTGCCTTGTTACATGGTTGGCAGTCAGGATTCAGCACCGGACCTGGGATCCACATCTTCCAGTTCTTTTACCCACCATACTGTGTGTCATTTGGACTTAGAAGTGGAGTGAGGAACTTCTTGAGCAATAACTCTTAGCAGTGGCAGAAAAAGTTAGTTGTCTGACAGGCATGGACCCTTTCCCAGGAAAACACACCTATAAACTTTTGTATCTGTGGCATTCCTCAGAGTCCCAGGTTACATGGCATATGAATACTGAAGGAAGCATAGTATTAAAACCTGCTGAAAATAAAAATTTGTTGAGTCAAAACTGATTCATAGCTGACCCTCCATTGGCTTTCAGAAACAAAATCACATATGAGAGAATGCCCACCATTCTTCCTCTGGGCCAGTGGTGGATTCAGACTGCCAGAGGGTTGACCTTTGGGTTAGCAGCACACTTCTCTGTGGACTAAGCCACTGTGGCTAAAACCTGTCCAGGATTCATAGTCTGACAAAGATGCTTTTAACTCAAGCATGAGCCTTTTGCGTCTATATGAGCTTTCTGATCCTCAATTTCCTAATTTATTAAATGAGACTAATGATTATTTTAATAATCATTCCCTTTGAGATTATTGTAAGTACCATATACTATTAGTGTCTCTGTGTAAATACATACCAGGCATACTTAAGTCCATATAAGCTGCTTTAAGTGGCACAAATGATTTACAGTCATTTGCTAGCCGAAAGGTTGACAGTTCAAATGCACTCAGGTTGTGCCATGGAAGAAAGGGCTGGTAATCTGCTTCTGTAAAGATTATAGTAATGAACTACCCTATAGGGTAGTTCTGCTCTGTAACATTCAAGATTACCGTGCCTTGGAATTGATTTGACAGCAACCGATTTTTATATGGATAGTATTGTTGTTACGAACTATTTTTGGATCCAACCCATATCTGACCCTCAGTGCGTTTTCAGAGGCTATAAATCACATGCGAGGAGATTGCCCATCTTTCTCCTGCAGAGCAGCTGGTGAATTTGAACTTTGGGCCTTCATGATAGCAGTATAGCTTCTTACCACTTGGCAACCAGCACTTCTTCTTAAAGGTTTATGTTACCAGCACACACACACACACACACACACACACACACACGTGTGTTATCTGTTTATGAGATAACTTGTTTTTTCTGAAATAGTATTGGGAGCTACTTTGCGTAATGGATGGGATTAGTCTTGCTGTTAAGATTCCCCATCACCTAGTGAAGTGCCAAATATCGTATCAAGGCTCCCCCTCACTCACTATATTGTTAAGATTCTGTTTCCTCTTGTCCCCTACTTAGAATACCCCCTCTCAGTTTGATAACTTAGTTTTTCAAAGTTCCTAGTCCCTTTTAACTGTTCACATCTTCTCTCCTCTTTCACAAATTTAGTATGTTGATTTGTAAGCCAGCACTGTCCAAATGAAATTTCAGCCACATGTAATTATAAATTCCCTAGAAGCTACATGTAAAAAAAAAAAAGTCAGGCAAAATTATTTTTAATATACACTAACAAACTATTCTAATGCATAATAGAAAATATTATTGACATCTTTCTTTTTTTATTTTTTTACTAATTGGTGAAAAATCCGTTTTGTTTTGTAACTAAAGTCCATTCTCAAACGCCACATGTTACCAGTAGTGACTCAGTTATTGGTAAATGCAGCTGTAGACCCTCATTTGGTAGCTGAGCCATGTTGTGAAATGGAGATAATGGTAAGCTCTGTTGATGCCCTCGGAACGTGCTCGAGAGCCATTGTTCAATGCTCTGATGAAGAACTTGCTAGGGACTAGGAATAATGAGAAATAAAGTGATTTGTAAATCAAATGTGGTTATCCAGATTAGAAACATTTAAAAGTGGAAACAAGCAACTATTTTTAATGTCTTTATCAGCTTTGTTTCATAACTTCCTAAAGTGAGCAGTAATAAACTGAAAATAGCCATTTGTTAGAATTACCAAGTTAGAGTAAATCCATGTAAATTAAGGCATGTTGTTGTTAGGTGCTTTTGAGTTGAGTATGACTCACAGTGACCCAATGAACAAAAGATCTGAACCCTGTTCCATCCTGCACCATCCTCACACTTCCTGACACACAAGAGCCCATTGCAGCAGTCACCATGTTAATCCACCTGGTTGAGTTGAGGGTCTTCTCTTCTTCACTGACCCTCCACCCTTCCTAATATCATGCCCCTTTCCAAGGAATAGCACCTCCTAGCAACAAAGTAGAAAGGTGCAGCCTCATTGTTCTTGCTTCCAAATGGCACTCAGGCTGCACCCTCTTAAAAAACATGTTTGTTCTTTTGACCATCAATGAGATGTTCTGCATAGTTAAAAACATAGCTCTCTCTATTGACAGTTCAATGCTAAAGAAAGCCATCAAATGAAAATGCTGGAGAGGCTTGTGAATATACACTCTGTTTAGATTAATTACTATACATACTTTTGTCTGCTACAAATTAAAACTAATTTTTGATAGTTTTCTCTGTCTCAGATTTGTGAGACTTGCCATTCTCAAACAAAATTCTCAATTTCCTGGCTGGTCTTTAACCAAAAATGTTTGCTTTGCCATCTAGAAAAATGCTGTGTTATATTCATATTTTTGTTAAACTTATTCTTGGATTGGTAGTGAGCAAGACCAGGAAAAGTAAATCCTTTATGACCCAGCCTTTGCTGGGTGTGGCACCGTTGTAATGCTGAAGGAGTTGACTACCTGTCAGTTTTGCTTATGTAAAATGTGAAGCTCCTGTGCTTTTAGTTCAGTTCAGATATTCTTGGTCCATTGGAATTTATTTAGAAGGTTATGTTGTTGTTGGAACAGACCCGTAGCTGACCTTCTGGTGGAACCTACTGAGACAGTTAATCGCATAGGAGATTGCTAGTCCTTCAACCGCAGAACAGCTGGTGGATTTGAACCAAGTGCCTTCAGGATTGCATCACGGCTTCGTTTTATATGGCATTCTGTTTGGTTTTCCTTCTTTGAGTTGTTTGACTACATAATTGAAATACTGCGTAGGAGGCTAGAAAGACATCCTTTCAAGAGAGTCATATATCTTTTATTTGGTGTAAAGGCCATATTCCATTTGTAAAATTGTACTTTACATGCTATATTGTTAAGAAAATACAGTTTATAAAGCTAGTTTGGACTATTCAGCTGATTTAATGAAAAAGGAATTATTTCTTAAAATCCCATTAGTTGGCTTAAATTTCTTTTTAAATGTTTAGAAATAATTTTAAATAAATATTTCACAGATTTGTTTAGAGAAAAAGTAATGGACAGAAGCTAAACTTCACACTTTATATTATAAGTTAGTAAATGTGGCATATGGAAGTTTTTCATGAAAGGAATAACAATTTTACAGTTTTCCTCTTTAAACATGCTTTTGGGGTCTTGTGTAATAGATCAAATGGGTGTCGGTATTTTTTTGTACATTTTATGTACATGTAAGTTAAGGATCTTATTTTGCCATTTTCATTTTTTGGTAAAATATGAAAGTAATAGTAGCACATTTTATAAACTCTCGATTGGAAAAAGAGAATAACACATAAAGATTAACTCAGTAACTATAGACAAAATAACCCTGATTCTACGTACATTTTATCTTATATAGTGCCAGGTACATAACATAGATGTAAGAAGGAAAATTTTATTCCAGACATCACTAAAAGTCTGAAAATTCAAGTTGAGTCTTGATGACTGACAAATTTTTATTCTTCTTTTCGATCTTAAGCTAGTTATGTTTCACGTTTATTTCAGTTATGCTTCTTGATAGAAAACACATTGCTGCTCCGGCACCATGTAGTGTACTGTAAGTATTTTATATAAAACGTTTTCTATTCAGAGCACTGATTGTAAAGAGTAAAGCAGATTTTCCTTTACATTTTTGATTGATGATGATTTCCCTCTTTACAGGCATTGGAATGGATACGTGTGTCATTCCGTTGAGGCATGGTGGTCTTTCCTTGGTTCAGACCACAGATTACATTTATCCTATCGTAGATGACCCTTACATGATGGTAAGTTTGACCAAATGTGTTCTTATTCCTGAACCTTCTTAATCTTTTTTTTTTGTTTGTGTGTAGTTGAGATTTTCTTTGTGTTTATGGTTTTTGTCAAGTTTGTTCACTGTACTATAATAATGGCTTGATCCTTGCATTTGCAACAAATTGTTCTTATCCCTACTCATACTTGGTGGTGTACTTAAAGCTTCGGAAAGTAGAAGCAGGAAGGTGCCTCTGTTGCTTTTGTACTTGTGTTTTAGCCTAATGTTTATGGAAAAAAAATTTTGTCGTTTTCTTCTTTCCTTCCTTGTACCTTTCACATTTGTAAACATCGTCACTCCAGTGTTCCAGGCTAGGGATGTAATAAAATAGCTTCTAAGGTGTTCTTCCTAGAAAAGAAGAAGCTCAGCATCTCATCATACAGCACAACACAGTTAGGATATCTGGTCACCTCTCTTTCTCCCTCCTTCCCCCCTTTAACACAGGCATCACCCTCTTAGACTATATACCAGTGTACTTATCTGAACCAGTGAATGACAACTCCTTGCTACTGATTTCGCACTGTTAATTTTTTTCAAATACTTGGTAAATAGTTGTAGCCAGCAGCTCTTTATTATGCCAGCCATAAGCCTACCACTTTCTAAGAGAAGCCAGTGGGGAAACTGGGAAGATCCTTTTTGTTGAAAATACCAGATACCCTGTGTGGCAAGGACACTGGGATAAATGGTCGAACAGAACGACTGGGTTTAGAGCATCCTTAACTATGAGGTAGCTAAATCAGGAGTGCAGTATCCATCTCCGGTACTAGAGATAAGTAAACAGATTATTAAAAAAGACCAGTACTCTGGAGAACAGGCAGGTGTGTCACGCTCTGGTGTTCTACCTGACCAGGTGGCAGAGCCTAAATTCAGAATTCATCCTGGAGGGTGGTGTGTTTTGCTTTAATCCTAACCAGTGTTTGGTATTTTCAAGGTGTAAACTACTTGCTTGCCTTGTTGATTAAGCTTTGGTACTGTCAAAAATGACCTGTAGAAGACTTGAGTTGCATTGCTGATTTACCATGAATTCATAGGAAAATAGAAAGAAACAAGTAATTAAGTATCAAAAATACTTTAACATTTGACTAGTCTATTATAAAAAAAAAATCTGTTTTCTCATATGTTGCCTTAGAAAAATAGTCCAAGCAATCACCACCTTCCTCTCTGCCAACCCAAAGGCACGCAGTTTGAATCCACCAGCTGCTAGGGGAAAGATGGCCAGTCTCTTTCTATGCGATTTACTGCCCTGAAAACCAGCTGTTGGGTCAACTATGTTGAGTTTAGACTCAGTGCTACATAACAGCAATCACCCCCAGCTGGCACTATAAAAATTACCTCATTTTTATTGAATCTACTTTTTAACATTTTTAATGAGAAAGACTCTCAGCCTGACTTCAGGCTTAAAAGGGAGCCCATGTGGCTCAGTAGTGCAAAAAAATTCAACAGCAAGCTCAAGGTCAGCTCTAAGGGAGGAAGGGGAGAGCATGTGCTTCCCTCACGGTTTATAGCCTTGAAAGCCCTCTGGAGCACTTCTATACTATACTGTCTTACAGCTGTGAAGCAGAATCCACTAGATGGCAGTGCATTTGGTTTGATTTCATTTATTTTTTGTTTATTTTTCAAACAAGATTATCCTAGTTCTTTCCTATAGCTTTGATATGTGGGTTGGTGTTTTTGGGTTTTGTTTTGTTTTTGTTTTTCTCTTACAGCTTTGTAAGGCTGCGGAAAATTTCTCAATCCAAGTGTATTAAAAACTGTCACCCTCTCTATAACCAGTGAAGTAGACTTAAGTCACATTTTCTTGGATCTGTTTAAAATTAGTGGCTGTTTTCAAGTTTGCTTTGGAATGGTTCTTTTCAAACATCGTCACTCCATAGCTCTTTCTCCTAAAGGGTCATTTCCTCCTGAACGTCTTCTCTCCTGAACCCTGGAGCCCATCTGTGTCAATTGCAAATGTGTAATATTTACAGTGGGAAAGAACGAATACATTCTTTATCCTCCTCAGGAAAGGTAGTAACAGGATTATCTGAGGATGGAGAAATTAGAGTAGTTTTGTGATGGGAAAGGTCACTAGTGTTTAGATCGTACAGTGGGTCAGGACCGAGTCTAATAATTGCCATTTCTGGAAACCCCCTGAGTTTTGGAAGGCCGCCCTATAAGCTTGCTCTTGGGAAGCCCCAGCTGTCCTTTCTCATGTCTCCCGTCTCTTCTCAGGGCAGGATAGCATGTGCCAATGTCCTCAGTGACCTCTACGCAATGGGAGTCACAGAATGTGACAACATGCTGATGCTCCTTGGAATTAGCAATAAAATGACTGACAGGGTAAGTAAGTGATCTTTCTATTAGAGACTAGTCTGTGCAGGCGTGATTACAGCATTTGACTGCTTAGACCTTCCCTTCCTCTCTCTCCTATACAATGAGGCGTACAGCTAAGTAAATAGCTTATGGTAGCCCTGGCTCTCCACAGTTTAGCAGGCATCACATTGTCATTTCTACCACCTGCTTATCTTTCTCCTGGGTGGAATAAGCCAAGTCATTCTTTCTTTTTTTCTTAGGGGTAAAATAGTAAAGATAGAATTTTTATCCCCAAAGGGATGGACCTCCCTCCTTGAAAGAAAGTACAGAAGAGAGGTCGAGACATAGTTTAAGTAAAACATGGGTGATGCTGTGTTAATACAGTTCTAGTTCAGTGCATTGGGAATAGCCCACAAATCTGGGAGCATATGTGACTTAGAGGATTGGGCCCTTCCGTTTTGGTTGTTTCTTTGTAGACAGTGATGGTAGTGTCCTTCCTACCTTTCTTTTTATTCAGAGAGGAAGTACCTGCCCTATAGATTACTTTGACAAGTACTTGTTTTGTCTCTCCAGAAAAGTTTACCATTACAGAAGTAAGAGTTTTAAAGGCCCTAACTGTGATTTGGTACCAGTGATATTGGTGAGAGTATTCCTGGTGTGGATACCACCACAGCTGTCAGCCAGTGGTGGCACTCCTTGGTACACCATTTTAGGGTAGAGTTGTTATTGTTAAGCTAGTCTTGTGATTTTTAAAAACAATTACTTAAGTAGCTGGTTCAGATTTAAAGACAGTTGAAAGGACTCAGTCATATAATAGTTTTGCCTTCTGTCTTTGAGCTTCATTCATACATAACCTAGCATTTAATTAAAAGGTCATACAGTAAAATCCCCAATGTCTTGTCCTTTTAGTATACTTTTAAGAAATTTGATTTTTTTTTTTTTAATAACTACAAATGTAAATTCTTTCCAGAGTTTTGAAGGGAATTATTTGACTTTTAATTTGTATCCTTTTGAACTTTAGGAAAGGGATAAAGTGATGCCCCTAATTATACAGGGTTTTAAAGACGCAGCAGAAGAAGCAGGGACATCTGTAACAGGTGGCCAAACAGTGTTAAACCCCTGGATTGTTTTGGGAGGAGTTGCTACAACTGTCTGCCAACCCAATGAATTTATCATGTAAGTTGATCTGTCTCTCATGTTACCTGTCCGGTTATCTGTTTCTCTGATTAGTTTTGTTCTTTTTGTTGTTGGATGCCTTTCTGTATCATCCCCTTATGATGGAATATAACTTTCCCAAAGGATTTTCAGTTTTTTAACATCATCACCAACATTTAGTACTGTCTTCCTTGATTCTAGTTATCCTGACAGTGTGAAGTGGTAGTCCTTGTAGTCCAGAACTAAGAAGATTGAAATGGATCCGCAGTGCAAAGTCCTCACCTATCCTCCTTCGTTCGCCACTTCCCTCCCCCAACTAAACCCAGCTGTTGAGCCAGCTCATAGCTACTGATCACTAGGTTTCCAGGTCTGTAAAGCTGTGTGAGAGGAGCCCATCTTTTCCAGTAGAGTGGCAGGTGAATTCAAGTCTTTTGGTTAGCAGCCACACACATCATTCATGATTTTAGCCAGTCTTAGATTTTTTTTTAAGCCATTACTATTGACATTATTTTTTATTTTGGTATTATTAGTAATACTCCACTTAATAAGCTAATACATAAATCATTTTGTGCATATGTAAATATACTGGTAAGAAATTGACAGAAAAGAGCTAGATCCCATAGTATGTACACTTAAGGTTTACTTAGGTATCCCAGTGCCGCCTGTCATACAGGTCTACCCGCAGTGAATGAGGCTGTCAGTTCTCATTCCCTAACCAATAATGTTTTAAAAACGTTCTTGATCTTTGCCAGTCTATTTGTTGGGTTGTTTTGGTTTTATTTGTAAAAGTTCTTTTTAAAGCCTTTATGTGACAGCTTTCCTTTGTGGATCTTGCATTTTCCTTCTATTAAGGTTTTATTATTCTGGTTTTGGCAGTTTGCAGAGTTTGCTCATAGGTGGGACAGAGATCATGAAGTCCCCCCATGTCGCTCATTGGAGTTTTCCAGTACAGAAAGAACTAATAACAAAAAAGGAAGGAATAATAACTTAAGGGAGTTCTGCTGGAGTAGTCCATAAGGAATTGGACTCTTAACTCAAGAACTGTGCCTCTCTGGCCATAGGAATCCACCAGGAGTGACTCCATGGGAGAAAAGATGGGCAGTCTCCTCTGTGTGATTTATAGCCTTGAAACCAGAATGGAGGGTCAGCCAGGAGTCAGTACCAACTCAGTAACTATGAGGGTTTTTTTAAAAATTACTTTTGGCTTTTTACTATCTGAAAAATTATTAAGTATTTTTGTGTGATTATATTTTGTTTTGAAACTACCCAAAAGCTTAAATATAAGTTAGTAATTTTGTTGCACTTGGCTTGTCTATTTGCTGTTGTAAGGTGCCATTGAGTCAACTACAGCTTAATGCAACCCTATGAACAGGATCTATCTGTGCCATACTCGTCATCTCCAATATCCATGAGCCCATTTTTTTTAAAAAAAATTTTTTTTCCCCATTTTATTATTTTGTGTGTGTGTACCGTCAATTCTGATCTGACTGGCACAGAAGGAGATTGACCCTCCTCCAGCAGAGCATCTGGTGGATTCGAACAGTGCACCTCTGGGATTGCAGGGCAGCTTCTTGCCAGTAGGCCACCAGAGCTCGCCCATGAGCCCGTTTTTTAAGTCTGTCAGTCTGTCTTGTTGAGAGTCTTTCTCTCTCTTGCTTACGTTCCAAGTTTGATGTCCTTTTCCAAGGACTGGCCCTTCCTAACAACATGCCCAGTGAGATGAAACTTCTTTACCATCCTTCTGTCCATCGAGCACTCTGGCCCTACTTCCTCCAAGACATTCTTGTTTGTTCTTTTTGCAGTCCATGGGATATTCAGTAATTTTCTCTTAAGTTGTGCATAAACAGTGACAAAAACCATGCTAGCTTTAAGGTACATATGATTCAGAGTTGAATTGTAAGACATTTTTGTCTTAATGGTTGCTGCTGTTGTTGTGTACCATCAAGTTGAAACTGACCCATAGCTAACCCTCCACTGGGTTTTCAGAGATGGTTAATCTCTGGAGATTGCCCATCCTTCTCCCCTGGAGTGTCTAGTGCTCTCGAACCATGTACCTTCAGGATTGTAGTGCAGTTTCTTGCCACTAGGCCACCAGAGTTCCTTGTCTTAAGGGTAAGATTTAGAAAAAATATTGAGTTGTATACCAGTTTTCTGGTTTTTCCCTGTTCAAGGGAGGTGGGTTGATCTGTCTGCAGCCTTTCCATCAGCTGGCTTGGGTGTATCTCTCACCTGTAGCAAGCAAGGATACATATTGCAGTGTGACTGCAGAGGGTGAGGGACCTTACTAGAGTACTGAAGAGCAACAGTGTCAGTCTGGAGACTAAGGTACACATGATATAGGCCATGGCCTTCCCAATTACTTGCTATGCATCAGAGAGCTGGACAATAAGTAAGGATGATAGAAGGATTGATGCCTTTGAGTTGTGAAAGATCCTGGAGAAGAGTGTTGAATTTACAGTGGGCCAGGAGAATAAACAGGTCTGTCCTAGAGAGGGTGAACCCAAGCTGCTCCTTGGAGGCAAGGATTTTGAAGCTTCGTCTCATATACTTTGAGCACATGGCCAGGAGGGACCAGTTCTTAGAGAAGGACATCACGCTTGGAAGGGTAGAGGGACAGCACAGGAGAGGAAGACCCTGGGTGAGATGAATTGACTCTGACTGGAGAGATGGGATTAGATATGTCAGAGATGATGGGATTGGCTCAAGATAGGGCAGGATTCAGAGCTAAGGTACACAGGGTCGCTATGAGGCAACATGACACATAACATCAGTTTTCTGCTAATACAGGATGATGTTTCTCCAAATGTTTTTAACAATTTTCCTTCTAGTTAATGTTACAAACTCAGTTTTTGGAAAGATGATTAAATTTGTCTGCAAAATACCCTTTTCCTTTTCTTCAGGCCAGATAATGCAGTGCCAGGAGATGTGCTTGTGTTGACAAAACCTCTGGGTACCCAAGTAGCAGTTGCTGTGCACCAGTGGCTGGATATTGTAAGTAAACCACTTTTTGTTGTTTCAGGGATGATTAGGGGGAGTGGTTCAGCAATAACTTTTTAAGATTATAGATGTTTTTTGTTAGGGAGTTTTGGGAAGTCATTGACTTTGTAAGTCAGTTCAGAAATCTCACTCTTTAATCTCCTTGTGCTCTGTCTACTTTTGAAGTATCTTTTCCCTAAAGTAAGTCTTCTTCTTGGTCTTGTTCTTTCCATGTTTAAAATTTATAATGTCTAGATGTCATAGAGCAGGGTTTAGGGCTGTTGTGCATAGGGTCGCTATGAGTCGGAAACGACTTGACGGCACATAACAACAACAACAACAGATGTCATCAGCTTGTCTTTTAAAATTGGAAGCCTTTACTACTAACCAGGAGTTTAATATTGGTCAAGTCCTTTCAGAAATGCTAAGAATCATTTATTTTCTTGTATTGAGTGAAAGTTTCATGCATGGACTGCATGAAGTAGGTGTGTCCCAATCTGGAGTCTCAAAAATTACCATGTAAAGAGAATTTGGGAGGCAAAGAGGTTAGGCTTCTCTGTTTATTTGGTGCTAAGAGCTTTATTTTTCACATCTTTAGACAGTAAGAGTGAATGATATGGAGGAGAATTTGTGAAAAGTGTGATGTTTTGGATGTAAATGAAGCCAGGGTTATTAAAAATCTAAATTATTTTAGTTATGTTTTTGCAACTGTTTTATTTGGTAGTTTTTTTTCTTTTTAAACATATGACTAGTGTAGACTATGTTGATGTGTAACTCTTAAATGGAAAATGTGTCTAGAGTATGAAGACATTTGTCCTGAGTCACCTTTATATTGAGCCACAATCATATTTCAGGTAGTTGATTTTTATTTTGGTTTTTCATTGCTCTAACAATCCATAAATTACTGAGATTGTGGTGTATTTTTACATATCTTGGCACTTTTAATTTCTGCAACTGTCATCTAAAGCTATCCATCCTGAGAAACAGTTGCAAAGGAAGAGCACATAATTTTATGGCTCACCACCCAGGTTTGTCTCAGCTTATACAGGAGAGAAATTCTTTAAGGCTGCCACATTGTTTAGATGTGCTTCTCCATCAATGATAGAGAGATTTCTCTTGTCATGGACTGCTCTCTGTAAATAAAAGTTCCTCAGCCATTTCAGAGGAATAAGCTACTATTAGTTTTTAATATAGCTACCCAGATCTGAGTGAAACTCTAGCAAGGAGACTGGAGGCAGGTTAGTTAGACAAGAGTATCAAAACGAGATGTTTTAAAGTCAGAAACAACCAAAGAGTATGTTATTTGGCATCACTCTGTAGGAAGTAATGTTGGGGATTTTTTAAAGGTAGAGAAATAGAAGTACAAACTTTTTTTTTTTTTAAATTTTATTTTATTATTTTTGTGTGTGTACCGTCAAATCAGATCTGAGAGGTACAGGAGGAGATTGTCCCTCCTTCCTCAACAGAGCATCTGGTGGATTCGAACCATGCGCCTCTGGGATTGTAGTTGCAGCTCCTTACCACTAGGCCACGAGAGCTCCCCTAGAAGTACAAACTTTAGAGTAGTTGTTATTTCTAGAGAGTAGACCAGAATGCTCATAAAAAGAAATCATCTATCTTTTCTTGTGCGTTAGTATTGCCAGTATCTAGCTGTTGCATACAGGGAGTGCTGTTGGCATAGTCCATAATGAGTAAAGTTGTTTATCTAAAGGCTACACATCTCTAGCAGTTTAAATCTACCAGTCCTCTGTTGTGATTTTACAGCCTCAGAAACCCAGGGGAAGGTCGCTGTGCATCAGAACCAGCTTAGAGTAGTCAGTTTCTTAATAGAAGCTCCAAATTGGTGCAGTGACTGAAGGCTGCACTGTTAATGAAAGTTCAGTGGAGCCACAGCTTTAGAGAAGAGGAGAACCGAAGGACATTCAGAACTTACACTTCACTAAAGATGAAGCAGGCTACAGCAGTATTTAACACTCCTGTTGTTGCCAGCAAACATTTCCAGCTTGTCTTTCTGCCAGGTGCTCTAAAATGGTAGTATTTGATTATGGAAATGCAGGAATGGTCCCTTAAAAGTAATAGTCACAAGGAAAAAGTTTCAAAAACATAACTTTGTGTACAAAATGAGATGAAATGTCCCAGAAAAGATAAATAAGAAGAAATAGACTCTTGTCCATGGTTAGAAGTAAAGATTAATCACATTTTTCCCTCTTTTCTTCCCTCATTTATATTCCCATTTTTAGCCTGAAAAATGGAATAAAATTAAACTAGTGGTTACCCAGGAAGACGTAGAGTTGGCATACCAAGAAGCAATGATGAATATGGCAAGGCTCAACAGAACAGGTATAAGGTTCTGGGGAGGGCTCTTCTGTTGCAGGAGTTGGCAGACTTGGAAAATGCACAAGACTAAATTTAGGTTTTGTGGGCCACATACAGCTTAAGTTGCTGCTGATTCCCCACCCACTCCTCTTTAAAGTGTAAAAAGTCATTCTTAGTTGTGGGCCTGCAAAAGGACTATTGGCTTTATTTGGCCTGATACCTCAGTTTATTTCTGTTGGTACCTGATCTGATCGCATAGGTCTTCTGTGTTCTTGAATGAGTGTTAATTCTGACTTTTATTAGAGAAGATAAAGAACTAATGACTAATCTAAATAGTGTGCTTAGGATAGGTCAAGAAAACTGGTTTTCTCTTCATCTGTGTGCATGAGGCTTTTATCTTTATTACACATCTGACTGAGTCCTTTATTATGAGAACAGTGCAAGGCACTGAATAAAAGCACAGAGAATATTGATGAATTTTTTAAAAAATTCACTTTCTGAATCTGTGGAGACTTTAAGTTGTGTTTTCTCTCAAGGCATTAGGTTTCCCTGTTCCCTGTGTAAAGATGGAAAATGTGTCTCATGTTTACACAAATATTCTACATAATTAATAGCTTAATGTTTCAGCATTATATTTAAATTTTGGGATTTGATAGTGTAGTTTATATCATAAAGTTTTCTTTGTGTTTTTGTTCTAGTCATTATATTAATTAAAAGTTAAATTTTGACTTTATTTGTTCTTTTTAAAATTAATTTTAATTAAAGTTTATAGAGACTTAGGTTTTCCAATCATTCATTGTTGAACTTTTCTCCCTTTCCCCCTTACCCCCCAATTCACTCTTCTCCTTGAAAAGAAAAAGAAAAACTCTTTCATTGTTATGCAATCCCTCCCCCCAAGTCCACTCCACTATGCATCCTTCACTCTGGACTTCTGTAATGAAAAGAATACCCATTCATATATCCCTTTTAAACAGCTCTCTCCCTCATCTGTTTCAATGCAATATACATCATATATCATTCCTCCCATCCGTTTCTGTCTTCCCTCAACCCTGATGTCAGTCCCATTTTACAGCAGTGGCCCTATGCAATATTTGTCCTTTTGTGACTGAGATATTTCACTCAGCATAATGTCCTCCAGGGTCACCCATTTTGAATAATATTGCATGAGTTCCTTGTTTTTCAATGCTCCATAATATTCCATTGTGTGAATATACCAGAGCTTCTCTATCCATTCGTTTGTTGATGGGCACGTGGGTTGTTTCCAACTCCTTGCCATTGTGAACAAAGCTGCAACAAACATGGTTGTGCATATATCTGCTTGGGTGGTAGTTAAGGTTTCTTTAGGGTAAATTCCCAGTGGTGGAATTGCTGGTCAAATGGTATCTCTATTTGCAACTTTTTGAGTAAGTGCCATACTGCCTTCCATAGTGGTTATACCATTTTACACTCCCACCAACGGTGAATAAGGGTTCCAGTTTCTCCACAACTTTACCAGCATTTGTTACTGCTTGTTCTGTTAAATTTTGCTATTTTTACTGGGATGAGATAGTTGTTTTGATTTGCATCTCTCTTAGAGCTAGGGATTTTGAACATTTCTTCATGTGTTTGTTGGCTATCTGAATGTCTGTTCATAATCTGTGCCCATTTTTCAGTTGGGTTATTTACTTTTATCTTGTTGTGGTGCTTGAGTATTTTATAAATTCTAGATATAAGTCCCTTGAGGACATGTCATTACCAAATATTTTTTCCCAATCTGTGGCTTCCCTTTTTATCCTGTTGGAGAAGTTTTTGGATGTGTATAGGATTTAATTCTTAGAAGGTCTCATTCATCTCTTTTATCCTCTCCTGGTTGTAGATTTTCAGGATACTTGGAAGACTGTTTATGTTGTGGGTTGTGGGTTAGGATTTCTAGAGTTCTTCCAATCTTTTCTTTTCTTTTTTTCAGAGTACAAGTCATTTAATTCCCTTCTACTCAGGAGCTCAGTATATAGATGGCTTCTCTTTTCCCTTTGGATTGACAGTTTTCTCCAGGTTGCTGTTAATGATATGATAAAGCTCAGCATAAAAGTCCTCAGATCCAGCACCTTGGCTCTAAGCTCCCTGTAGACCGCCTCATCTCGCTCATGTGCCAAGTCCTGGTAATCCATCACATGGGTCTCCTTGGAGGCCTTGGCCACTGCATACCCACGTTTTGGAAAGTACTTGGAAATGATAGTCTGGAAGGCTTCCGCTTTGGTCTTGACTGCATTCACTCTCTCCAGCACTTTCTCCTGAATTGCCACACCAAAGTCATTTACATCTTCAATCTTGGGGATCAGATTCTCGATCCACATAAACACTAGAATGCATTTCTCTTTGAGTGTCCAGACTTCTGGCTTAACGATGGCAAGCAGGGCCAGTTTCTTCTCATGTCCAGGGAGAAAGCCACACTTACAGACTTCTTTCTTCTCCTGCTTATCTGTTTCTATCTCAGCATCCTTGGGTGAGGGGTCTGAAATTGGGATGTCTAGTGGAACCCGAAAGGAAGTCGGGTCAGTCACATTGAAGGAGTCCTCTTTTAAGAGTTGATTCAAGTATATGATCTTCTCCTGGAAGAGATTTTATCTGAAGACATCCACCTGTTTGTGGGCCTCCCCACTCAGGCGTACCCCACAAGGCTTGGCCATGCAGAATCTTTGATCTCCAAGCTTTTCTTTAATGAAGTTTATAGTCCTTGGTTTTAGTTCTAGGTCTTTGACCCACTTTGAGTTGGGTTTTGGAGTGACGTGTGGATCTTGCTTGAAGTTTTCTGCAGATAGTTTTCCAGTTTTGCCAGCACCATATGTTTAAAAGGCTGTCATTTCCCCACTTAATTGATTTCATCTCCTTGTCAAAAATCAGTTGACCATAGGTAGATGGGCTGATTTCCGGGTTCTCAATTCTATTCCATTGATCCATGTGTCTGTCATTGTACCAGTACCCCACTGCTTTGACCACCATGGCAGTGTAGTAGGATTTGAAATTGGAGTGTTCACCACAAATTAGCTATGGGACTGTCCCTGGGCAAGTTACCTCTCTGTAAAATGGTATTCTAGCTTCTTGCTAGATATTTCTTTGCTTGCAGTACATTTGAGTAGTATTTTCTGCCTCCTGACAATGATTTGAGGCCCTTTCACTTTGCACATAACAGTTGAACACTATGCTAAGAGTTTCAAAAGTTTAAAACAAAACAGTAGAGTTCAAGAGTTAAAAAAAAAAAAAGCAGCAAAGTTTCCAGGAAAAGAATTTTATTTAGTTTAAACAATCATAGCCACGATTTTTGTTGTCTTTCATATATGTACAGAAAGTAGTAGGTATATTTTATAATTAAGAAAGAAGTACCTTTGTGGTTATGTTGAAATGCTGGACTCTGGCATGCTAGCAAACATTTCTGGAGCGGTATTTGTATAGGTAACAAAATGATGGAAGCAAACTATCATTTAGAATGTATGCTAAAAAAGGAAAAGAATGTATGCTCGAGGGCATTTTGTTTTCTTCACTACAGTAGGGGCAGAAATTAGAAAATTGAAGCATATATCGTAGGAACGCACTACATATGACTTGAATGAGTGAGTTCTGTATATCATGTGCAAGTTATTTTAGGTACTCCATAGATGTTTTCTTTTTAGTAGTCTTATGATTTGGGCCTTATCTCCCTTTTACAGAAAAGGAAACGCATCTTTAAAAAAAAAAGATAATGAGAAGGTCTCTGCAAACCTAAGTTTAACTCCAAAAACTTTCTTTTCATGTTGAGCAGATTATATCTACAGAAACTAGTGATGCAAATTTATACACAGTTACTATTCTGATAATAATACTTTCTTATCATTAATCACATTTATTTAAGGACTTAGATTATGTGGCACTTTGTTGTTGTAGTCTTGAAGATTACTGCTCAGTTACTCTTCTCTGAATCAGAAAGGAATCACAAGTAGATTTGTATGCATTTTCTTTGTGTACAGCTTCTTCCTTTCTATTCTTTTACTTCCCCAAGTGACTTTGAACCAAATATATGTAGTACTTAAGCGGACCTAGAGGTTCTTAAAAGATCTCATCTCGTATTCTAATCTTTGTTACTTGAAAATTTAAAAAAAAACCCTTTTCCCTAACATCTTGTTTGTTCTCTTTTTTTTTATTAAATATATTTTAAAGTGCATTGAGCGGATACAAAAGAATTGTATAAAATAGTAAGATTTAAGACATTCTGTGTAACCTTGAGAGAAAGAGTGGCTGAATGTGGGGCCTCGGGACCACAGTCTTAGAGGACATCATGATCCATTGTCCACAAAGCCATACTGTACAAGGAGAATGTTCCCTGTCCTACTTTGGCTAGTAAGGATCCTAAAAGTTTGTTAATGGCTGTCTTAACATGCATCTGTAACTTTATTTCTCTCTGGATCAAAGAGTGAGAAAACCAGAAGATGTGTGGAAATAATTAGTCCAGAAGACTAAAGGTCTGCGCACACCACGGCTTCTTTTAATCTGAGACCAGAAGAGCTAGACGATGTCTGGATTACTGCTTAGAGACTTAGAAAATGCTTGAGACTATGACCCTTAGCCATCCTTCAAGCCTGGAATGCTTGAGACTATGACCCTTAGCCATCCTTCAAGCCTGGAAGTGAACTCATTTATGGCTCTGTTTTCAGCCCAAATATAGAACATCAACCACTTGAGAAGCATTTGCCTAAGGACAAAGTTCATAAGTGAGAGAGGTAGGATGATTTGGTAGTGTTACATGGTGAGGATTGCAATCAGTGGCATGAAACAAAATACATACCATCTATTAAAGGGAGCTCTAGTGGCTAAGTGGGAAAGGGTTGCATGGTTAGCCCAAAGGCACATGGTTTGAATCAACCAACTGCTCTGCAGGAAAAAGATGGGCAGTCTTCTCCCACGTAGTTAACTGCCTCTGAAAACTCTGAAGGTCAGCTATTAGTTGATTCCAACTGGATAGTGCATTACAACAAACATTGAATGGAGAACTGCTTTGCTATGTAAACTTTCCAAGTCACAAGAAGTAAGAAGTAGAATGGCTTTGAGAACCCAGAGGCAGCCACCAGCTCCTGTCACCATTACACTCTCAGGAACTACCTTGCTGAATTCTGTGGGTTTTAATTCTTTTGTATTTTAAATATTTCTTGCATAGGATTGCATTCTTAAGTTAGTTTTGCATTTTTAGCATATGAAAACAGTCATACTTGCTTGTGTGCTTGCTGTTTGATCTGACATTGGTTTCTGAGTGTCAAGCCTGCTGTGGGATTTTCATCAATGTATCATTTTCTTTACATATTCTAGTTTGTTAGTGGCCTTTGCATTACTACCCTGGACTTCTTCATGCAAAGTTGGTGATAAACATTAGAGGTTAATACTTAGTTTTCACATTATAAAGCATTTTAAAAAATTTTAAATGTCTTTTCTTCATACATACTGTTATTAATTATAGAAAGTTTTAAGAAAGTGGGCAAAGTAGAAAGGAAAAAAAAATTATGCATCATTGTATCATACCAGCAGTATTTGGTGTCTTCTAGGCTTTTTCCCAGGCTTATTTGGTGGTAGATGTGTGTTCTCATGTTTTTATACTACTGATCGTCTTGAGTTGTATATGTATTTAGGGTCTGCTTTCGCTAATATTACTATTTTTGCCGTATTACTATAAAATCTAGTACTCCTAATTTTTGATGGCCAGATAAAATACTTTGGACAATCATTCTGAAATAAAGTTTTCCATAATTGTCTTCATTTTCCTAGTGTAGCTGTAACACAAACCCTAAATGTGTCTTCTTTAAAAAACAGACGTTGGCTTGCTGACAGTTCCAGAGGCTGTAGTACAACCCGGGTCTCTCCTGTGTCATGACTTCTCTCTGGCTGCTCTTGGTTCTTGGCTTGTCAGTGATCTTCACATGGTGTTTGCTTTCCCCTGGTACTTGTGTAGGTGTCTAACCTCTTTTAAAAACCCAGAAGTGGGTAGTTTTAGAATCAGCCCATTCAGATATGATTTCATTAACAGACCATATCTATCTGCAATTAAGATCATCAATTTTGGAGGTTGAAATTATAACACACTTAAAAGGCGACACTATTTTTAGAGATTCAAATTCTAACATATTTAAGGTGACACTGTTCAATCCATAGGGAGCTCTAGTGGCTTGGTGTTAAGGAGCTGTGCAGTCAGCCAAAGACACACTGTTCCTGTCCTCTAGGTGCTTTGTGGGAGAACGAGGCACAGTCTCCTCTCTTGCTATTTACAGCCTCTGAATCCCTCCGAACAATCCATTCTGTGCCAGTTCTGACTCAGCAGCCCATAATAGCATTCACTCCATAAGATTGTTTTCTGTACTCTAAAATTATGATCTGTGTTCTTGGGTAGCCTTATTACTTAAAGTCTGTGGTTTTTAGTGATGTTCTTGGTCACCTCTCTGTCACTTACAAAGTTTAAAAAACCTTGCTGCTCAAATTCTTCAAATTAAGTAGTTTTAACAGGAATAAAGTAATTGGTAATGGTTTTATCATACGGATTCTTTAATTTTTATATTGATTGTTTTAAGACTCCTCACCTTAACATTTTTTGTATTGTTGGGAGGAATATGGACCCTTTTGAAGGAGTATTTTGCCTTATCTATCAATATTACATACTCTTTTTTTTTTTAATCTTTTAGACCCATTTGTAAGAATCCTCCACAACTTTAGTGGCCAGTATGTGAAATGTCATGTACTGAAGCTAATCATTATAGCTAGTCATTGCCCAAGAGGTGAAACACCTAAATGTAAACCACTAAGGGAACGCTTTAGTTATTTACATACATATAGTGGACAGTTAGGATAGAAGGGTCTATTTTTCTAGTAAGCCATATTTTCCCGAATACAATCAAGCGAAAAAAGCAAGAGACGCATGCATCAGTGCACTATGCCACATGTTGTGTGTTCATATATGAACATGGATACATGGGAAAGGTGCTACAATGTAGACCATGACTTTATTCAGTGCCTTTGGATGCGCTCCATCTACCTCACTGCAAGTATTAGTGAACAGCTAGTCCTGTGTTGTCCCTTAGGACCACTGTGGACTAGAAACGTCCATTCTCTTCTGCCTCTCTATTCAGAATACACCAAAGTAAGAGAATGTGGGTCTAAAAGAAGAAAGGTACCCAAAAAATGGATTCACTTAAAGTGCAGCTTTTATGAGATGAAGTCTTAAATTTTTTAAAAAATATATTTTTAGGCAGTCCACTTCTTTTTTTTTCCTTTAAATTTTATAATTTTATTTTAATAATTTTAATGAACATTTACAGAGATTTTGGATTTCCATTCATTAGTTGCTGCACTTCTTCCCCCCGCCCAGCACTCCCCCCGCCAAGTTCATTCCGCTCTTTGAAAAGTAATAGAAAAACTCCCTCCCTGGTACACAATCCCCCCCCACCCCCGAACCCCTCCCACCGACCCAAGTACATTCCACCATGCAATCTTAATTGTGGACTCAGCAATCCACTTCTAAAGTGCCTGATTTTAGATAATCTAAAAAGTACTATTCTAGGATTTTAGGATATTTTTGACAGTTTACCTTTTAGCTTCTCCCTACTCTTTTTTTCCCTGCATTTCCCTTATTAAGAACATATTTCCCCAGTTTTGTCATTTACTAAGAAAGTACTACTGATTGTAGCTGCTTTTAGTTCTAAGGGTTCAATTAAGATAGCATTCAAAATTAATTTATTTCTGATTTATTTTTTTTATATATATATATACTGTTGACCTGATGAATGGGTAAGATCTTATGTAAGAGCTTATGTAGGATTTGAATTGGGAAAAGATTGTGTTCTTTAGATTCTCCATTCATTATTCTAGCTTATAAATGGTTCCCTTGTCCTCTCTTAGCTGCAGGACTCATGCACACATTCAACGCCCACGCAGCCACCGACATCACGGGCTTTGGAATTTTGGGTCACGCACAGAACCTGGCCAAACAACAGAGGAATGAAGTGTCCTTTGTGATTCATAACCTCCCTGTCCTGGCCAAGATGGCAGCTGTGAGCAAGGCCTGTGGAAACATGTTTGGCCTCATGCATGGGACCTGCCCAGAGACATCAGGTACAAGGATCCTGGGTCCAAATCTGAGGACTTAACTAGTGAGGCTAATGGAAAGTTCCATGAGGAAGAAGAAGTCAAGTGCATGAGTATGACCTCACGTTGTGTGAGGTCAGTGTTGATAATCTTGGCCTCTGTAGCACCTAATGTTTCAATTCCATCTAGTGTTATAGGTTACAGTCTGCCATCCTGTGGGGGTTTAAACCTCAGTGTGAAGTTGATGTTTCTGTATTTTCATTTTTGATGTAGGAATATGTTGATATGGTGAAAAAGGAAAAAGAATATGAAAATAAAATAAGTCATTACTCAGATTTTTAGAAGAAACTTGGTATTTGAAATAACCTTTTATACCCTAGAGGATTACATTGAGCAAGCCATAGTTTTCCTTAATAAGAAATGACCAGAATTGTTTTTTTTAAGAATTAAGTAGTATATATTGTCTCCAAGATGCTATTTTTCTTTTCACTTTATTTCTTTTTCTCCTTTTTTCCCCATAGTCTTCTGCTTCATCTTTTAAGTTTCCTTTTTTTGCCCCCTCCCAGATAACCCTGATACCCACCTTCTTTCCTCTGGGACTCAAGTTATTTTAACCTGGTAAAAGAGTCCAGTGGCAATTACCTAAGCTTAGATCTGACATCCAGAAAACTAAGTCCGGTTTAAAAACTAGATACTCAAGTAATTAATGTGCCTAGGATGCCCCAGTAATCAGTTAAAGCTCCTTTGATTATCTTGGTGTCCTGGCCGCATAGCCAGTGTATCGGTCAGCCCCTATAGGATGACTCTTGAGTTTTTAGGACTCTGTTAGGTAGAAGCTGTGCCTCGTTTAGGCTTTATAAAGGATACATCATCCTTTCAATTTTCTGTTTGCTTCTTGTTTCATCCTAGAAATAAGCTTTACAGAGCAGGGACTTCTCTTTGTTTCTTCAGTACTTGGGCTAGAACAGTGCCTTGCACCCACTGGGTTGAGTAAATAGTGAATAAATTAATACTGTCAGCAAATCAAATGTTTCTTTTATCCATAAATGTGGGGCGGGTGTGTTTGTATAAGCAGAATATACCCTTTTTTCTTGGTGTTGTGTTCTTACTACTTAAAAATAAATGAAAAAAAAATAAAATAAATGAAATTTCCTGTCCTAATTACTAAAATAGCAAAGAATGTTTACTTTTCCTTATTTTAACATAATGACAGGTTTAAAAACTAGATTCTCTGAGATAATCTTTCATGAACTTTTAAAAACTATTATCTATGCATATACTTGTTAAAAAGCATTTTTGACAAGATGAAAAGCTAGTGAAAAGATTGAAATGGAATCTTGTTTCTAGGTATTTCCAAAGGGAAAAATAGCCATCCATCACTTAATGTTACTGAGGCCTCAGCTACCTTAATCCTTTAGAGCTTTAAATTATTTAATTGCTTTGCATTTTAGAGTGTGGAATAGGTCGAGGCAAAATGAATTTGCTTCATTGCACATAGAAAAATATGCATGCAATGAGTTCCTTGCATATAGAAAGTTGTTGACTGAACTTGGATGTGTACAGATGTATTTAGGCTAGAAGACAGAGAAATTGCTCAGAGTGTCAGCACTAATGATTATTCTTTTTCCTTTGCCAGGAGGTCTTCTAATCTGTTTACCACGTGAGCAAGCTGCTCGGTTCTGTGCAGAGATAAAGTCCCCCAAATATGGTGAAGGTCACCAAGCATGGATTATTGGGATTGTAGAGAAGGGCAACCGTACTGCCAGAATCATAGACAAACCCCGGATCATTGAAGTTGCACCGCAAGTGGCCACTCAAAACGTGAACCCCACACCTGGTGCCACCTCTTAATCCAGGCAGAAATCGCTATTTGGTTTTCTTTTAAAATAGATCTATTCCTTTATCATCATTTCAATTAAAGACTATAAACAACAAAATTCTCATTGTGTCTACACATCTGGTGACCTTAGGTCAGTTTGTGAGTGGATGCAATTAATAAAATCCATTGCCTTTCTTTCCTGTTACATTAACTGAAGATGCACCTAGTCTTGAGGCAGCTTCTGAGTTGAGAATTATATTGTTATCCAATACTGTTGATTCATTTTGAATCTTTAGACACTTATCTCTTGCCGCATAGGCTCTTTTTAAAGGTGCTTTCACATAGCACAGACATTACCAATAGTAGTGTCAACTAGCAGTTTGTGTCTCTTCATTTTATGTATATTTATCATTATACGTCTCCTGTTTTTTTTTTTTTTAAAAAAATGTCTTGAATGGTATTCTGGAAAGACAGAATTGATGAATGACATAATGGCTATCACAGTGGTAGGAGGATTGCATGATTTCTTTGAGACTTTGATTTGTGAAGCCCAGAATTGATCATTCAAGGCATCTCGTTGACCCAGGACATTACCCAATAGTGCATTCAGTTCGACAAGGCAAGTGCTTCACTCTGCATGGAAAGCACTTTGAAAACAAAAAAGAAATTGTATTTCTTTTTTTTTTTTTATAGCCTCCTGATATTTACGGTAGTATCAGTAACTGTTTTCTTTATTGATATCAGAAAAAGGATACTTTTTGCAATGTAATTAGATGTTCTATAGTACAAGGAATTGCCTCCCTAACGGGACTTCGTGTATAATATTCATTTACAATTCAATATATAATTAACTGCGCAAATAATTTTTAAATATAATCAATAATAAAGACTGTTCTGTGGATGCTAGTGTTTAATACATTTTATATTTTGTATAGTGATTTCAGGCCTTTTGTTTTCTTTAAATCAGCAGCTATTTAGCCTCATTTTTAGCATTACTTTGTCTTTGCACCCGTACTTTTCTGTGCACGCTTTTTGTGATCTGTGTTAAAAATCTGCATTGCCAGGATTGTAGCTCCAACTTGATATTCAAATAAATATTTAATTTTTTTTATTGCTCTTGTATAATCAGATGCCCCATTTAGTATTATTTTAGAAGTGTTGGGGAGGGTTTTGCCTAAAAGTACAATTTATTGGGGAAAGCTAGATTTTAGTTTTATAACACTTTTCAGTCTTTCATGGGACCTATATTTTCTTGAATTAAATTTTGTAGTTCTAGAACAAATAGGCAATCGAAAACGGTGTTTATCTGTGTTAGTTAAAACAGAGGCTTCCTTATATTTTCACCTACTACGCATTTAGGGGAGAGTCCTGTTATTAAGCACAAATGCACTGACTCCTCAAGTGTCTGTCTGCAAAAGAGAAAAGCACCACATTTCCAAGTTTCTGAATGCTTCTTGCTCACAGGCACCAAAGCCTTGTCAACTGCTCAACTTATTGCCAAAGGAAACCAGCACTGGGAAGATGAAGCTCCTGGAAGAGGCTTTAATGCGGATGGCGCTCCTTCAAGAATGAATGGGCAGCCTCTGTGCCTGAGTAACTGCAACGCAAGCCATAAGTACATTGGAGGCTGCTACCGAACTGAAATGAATTGGACATTTTATAGGAGTTGATACAGATGTTGGTCCTCAAAACTATCTGCATACCAGTGGTCTGCAAAATAAAATGTGTTGGAAACCTCTGAGTAAGATAAACATACTGTTGAGCTTTTGGTTTTTTTTCTCTCTTCAGTACATTCAAAAGATTGTAATGATCGCTTAGTCTGAACTAATTTTAATGTAGACTGTGGCCTGAAAACTGATGGTAGCAGGCCTCCTGAGAAGAAGAAAGCACTAAAGGGTATGCATTTGCACTCGTGTGAAGACTTATTATTAGTAACAAGGAAGTATTGGGTACTTAGTAGTTATTAGTTGCCTTCAAATGAGTTTTATTTCATAGTGACTCTGTCCCACAGAGGGTTTTCAAGCCTATGATCTTCAGGGCTGACCACCTGCCCTATGTCCTTCAGTGCCTCTAAGTAGGTGCAGACCACCAACATTTTTGCAATAGTGCTTAACTATATGCACCTTGCAGGGTCCCAGGGGTCTGTGGACTTCATCCCAAGAGGAAGATCTTGTCTTTAAGGCCGTTGTTCTTAGGAGAATGTCCACCTTTGTTAGAATTACAAAAGATAGCTCCTGGAGTCCCAACATAGCACTACAGAAAGCATTTCTAGACAGATAGGTATGGTACCAAGCAGTCATCTTAAAATAAGTACTCTGGTTTTGGCTACTGAAAGTTGGAGACGCTTTGATCTGAAAGAATATTGCCGAGGGCTGCGAGAGGAAAAGGAATGAGAATTTTATTTTTTAAAAAAAAACTTGTCTATTTTGATTTCCACATCAGGATTTACCCAGGGAAAGGAGGTGGGGGACAGGAAAAAGGAAATAGCATATCTTGAAAGTAGCTGGAAGAGTGAATTGTTTATATGCAAATTCCATGCACATGCTTTTGCAGACACAGTGACTTTATTTTCCTCTGAGTGTTAGTGCATTATATGCATGTGCATGTTATTTAAATGGACATTATATGTAAAAAAGAATTTTAGTTCATGGCCAAATCTCTGCAGAATAATTTAAAATTCCATGAACAACAAATGAGTGATTCTGTGACTTCTTTGTAGCACTATAAAACTTAACATTTAGAAATGTGCATCATAGTTGACCACTTTTATTTTCTTTGATCCCTACCCTACAATGTAGTTGCATCCAGAATACAATGTTTGGATGCATTAGAATCAATCATTGCACCCTTAAAAGGTTGCACTTTGTTAAGTTAGAATTGGTTCTTTTTTCTCGGTCAACAGGGATTCCTTGCTAAGGAAAATCATTCTTTCCTTTGCTTGTTATTTGCATATGTTGAAGAATTTATTGTGTCTAAGAAAAAAGAAAGTGAAATGTTGCATGAGCAATATGTGCTTTTTCTTTAAGAATTTTAAAGTTGGATATTCAGATTCTACACGCCTTATAAATAAATGAACGTGTTTTGATATTTTTCTGATGAACCAGCAATTTTTAGAAGAGCTACATCTGAGTTCAAAAGTTTGCCACTCTCTATGGAGAGATAGGCTATCTGCACTGTACTATTTATTTGTAGAGTAGAACATAGTTACTGATGGACTGCATACATAACTGTCCCATATATCTTTGCAGCCTTGGCGTTTTTCATACCACCCCACCTCTGTATTCTCGATTAGGCAGTGTTTGCATAGACAACATAATTTACTCCCAGTCTTCAGTAGAATCTTCTGACGTGAGCCATATAGTCATGAAACATGTCAGTGTCTACGAAGTCCTGTAACAAAGCAAGAGAACATGACTAACTATACTTACATAACTGAATGGTGATGGGCACGAATGAAAGGCCACCTCCAGAAAATATTTGACAGAATACCCTAGATGTCTAGACATACTTGCAAATTAGATGCCAAATGTTTTGGTTCAGTTGAACTCAGGGAAGTGCATCTTGGAACTGTTCTCTGTCATTAGGTGCCATCAAATGACCCTGACTTGTGGCTATCCTAGAAATATTTCTATATTCCTCTATTTCCCAGTTCTTATGCCTGATAACTCACTCTGCTACCACACTTTGGCTGTCTTTGTTGGGCCTTTTATCCTTCCTATCTTGTTGCCTTCCCAGGAAAGGTTATGTGCTTGGGTGTTTCAGGTAATAAATGTCACATAACTTCATGGGAAGACACACAGAATTCCTTATTTTAGTGACCTCATTAGAAAACTCAACTCCTTACACTTTAAAAAAAATCACATTCACAATAGACATTTGTGGGACTTAAAAATAGATTGCTACAGTGACTAACAATGAGCTCAAGCGTGTCAGAGATTATGGCAGTGCAGAAAAGGACAAGGTTCCCGTCTGCTCTGGATCGCTGCACATTGCATTTGAGTCAACTGCACCTGACGATAGAATGCCACGTTGATATTATCACTGTATTTTTCTTTTGTTCTTAAGCAGAGTTGTATAAAATTGGGTGTTGAGAGCATAGCCCTTACTTGGTTTCTTTTGAAAAGTAAAATTACAATAAATAAACCCTTTTTTAAAGTAAAAAAATAGACTTTCTAGTAAACTAAGATTCTGGTGTGGAATAATATAAAAAAATTATCAAAGATGGTTATGCAACATGAATGTAAATCATTGTCACTGAATTATATGTATAGAAATTGTTGAGTTAGTAAATGTTTTGTTGTGTATTTTCACCACAATAAAAGCAAATGAAAACTCCTAAGAAATGCTTTCTTAGAAATAGAAAGAGCTTTGTAAGCCTCACTCCAATCACAATATTGTAAAAAGAAGACTAACGAGAAGGTAACATATATTCAAATGTTACACTAAGTTAAACTAAACAATTTAAAAAATTTAAACTGTCACCCACTTTTTGCCAGTCAAGTCAAGCTAATATGTGCTGGCTTTAAAAACTTTGGAGGACAAACTCCAGTTGACCTCCCCAGTTTTCTAATTTTGTGTGTGTGTGTACCGTCAAATCAGATCTGAGTGGTACAGGAGGAGATTGTTCCTCCTTCTCCAGCAGAGCATCTGGTGGATTCAAACCATTCACCTCTGGGATTGCAGTGCAACTTCTTGGCACTAGGCCATCAGAGCTCACCCAGTTTCCTATTTTTAAAAATACAAACATAAAAGAAAACTTGGAAAAAATAGAAACTCTTAGAAATGTTAAAAAATTGTTTCTGTTTTGCTACATGTTATGAATGGTAGAGTCTGAGCCAAGATTTAAAATGGAACTGCTGGTCTTCCCCTGTTTAGGTAGGACCAGTTAGGTGGACTGTAAGCTTCCACTGGGTGTCCATACAACAAGCTGAGCTGAAAAGTAGAAAACTCCAGCTATTTTACACCTTTCAGACTGTGACTAATATTTTAACATTGACTGACCATCTTTCTGGCACAGTGACTGTATTCCCTCCATCTTTTGATGCTTTCTCGACCATTCAGTATATTGCCCATAGTATCTTTCAATAGTGCAACATAAATTTTTTCAGTTCTCTCAGTTTGAGAACTGCAGAGCGAGTTCTTCCCTTTTTATTCTCTTAATTCCAGCTCTACGCACATTCTATTACAATATTTTGCTTTGTCCTCCAAATCTGTCCTTTGAAATCTGTTCAACTTTTTTACTTTGTCATGTTTTCCTTTTGTTTTGGCTTTTCAATGCTACTGTGTGATTTTTAGAGCTTTTCTGACGACATCCATTTCTATTATTTTTTCTTCTCTGTTTCTGTAATGACCTTTGCTTTTATAATGGATGATGCCTTACACAACTCATCTGGTCTTCAGTCATTGTTCAGTGCCTCACACCTATTCCTAAGATGATCTTGAAATTCTGATGGAGAGACTACATAGGATCACTACCAAAAATAACTCGCTGACCGTGAGAAGTCTCAGGAAGTATCTTATGAACAGGAGCCAAGGGTAATGAAGGAGGAAGTGGAAGCTGCATTGAAGGCATTGGCAAAAAATAAGGGATACCAATTGACTTGTTTCAATTAACTGATGTAGACTTGGATGCACTCACCAGTCTGTATCAGGAAATTTGGAGGACAGTTGTCTGGCCAACCAATTGGAAGAGGTCTGTATTTGTTCCCATTGACAAGAAAGGTGATCCAACCGAGTGTGGAAATTATTGAACAATATAAATAATAGGCAAGCAAAATACTGCTGAAGATCATTCAAGAAAGGCTAGAAGAATGCATAGAGAGGGAAGTTCCAGAAGTTCAAGCAGAATTTAGAAGAGGTCATGATGCAAGGGATATCACTGCTGATGTCAGATGGATTCTGGCATATAATAAGGAATACTAGATTAATGTCTAGTTGTACCTTTTTAACTTTGCAAAGGCATTGGACTGAATCATAACAAGTTGTGGCTGACATTGAGAAGAATGAGTCCTAGAGCACTTAATTGTGCTCATGTGGAACCTATAACTGGACAAAGAGGCTGTTGTGCAAACAGAGCAGGGGAACGCTACATAGTTTAAAATTGAAAGTGGGCTGTGTATGAAGAGGAATGTGGTATCAGGATTGGAGGGATATGAATGACCTTCATTATGTAGATGACCCAACCTTGTTTGCTGAAACTGAGGAGAGCTTGAAGCACTTGTTGAAGAAAATCAAGGAATGCAGCCTTTAGTATGGATTGCGTCTCAATGTCAAGAAAACAAAGATAACTTACCACTGGACCAATACGCAGTGTCATGATGGATGGAGAGGAGATTGAAACTCAGCAGCTTCATCTTTCTTGGAGTCACAATTGACACTCTTGATACCATCAGTCAGGAAATAAGGAGATGTGTGATACTGGGTAAGTCTGCAGTTAGGGACCTCTTCAAATTATTGAGGAGTAATAATGTCACTTTGAGGACTAAGGTGTATCTGATTCAGGCCATAGTCTTTCTGATCACTTGTTATGCATCTAAGAGCTAGACAATGAATAAGGGTGACAGAAGAAGAATTGATGCCTTTGAGCTGTGGTATTGGAGAGGAGCAATGAACATCCTGTGGGTGGCCAAGAGAACAAACAGGTCTTGGAGAGGATGCAGTCGGAGAGCTCTTTGGAGACAAGAACAATGAGGCTTCGCCTCACATACTTTAGGCATGTTGCTAGCAGGGGCTATTATTC